CTTTTATACACTGTGTCCTTATAGTACTCAGTCACTGCAACACAGAATTCCTACCAACATGACACCGATCCCTAGTTGTTTTTTATACTATAATGTCACCTGTTGCTGTCAAGCTGTCTCTCATCATTCCCAGTTCTTATTACATTGTCATCTGTCGCTGTCACGTTGTCACACCATTAACATTACCCTCAGATGCCTGTTAAGGTCACTCTCAGTCATTCCAGACCCACCCTCCCTGCTCCGTACCCCCATCCCCCCTACTCCCTTCTAACTTTGTGCAGTCCCGGAGCCCCCTCTCGTAGATAGGACTCGACTGTGTATGCCCAGGGCCAGGAGACTCCCAAATGCCCATTAGCACAGGCTTGAGGAAGGGACGGAGACAGGGCGGGCAGGAGTGCCCAGGAGCACAAGGCCAGGGCTGGGGACAAGGAGACATGGCAGGGTTCAGGGGGTGGTGTGTGGGGTGCTTGGGCTTGCCTAGGCCGGGGTGGCCTGGGGACAGAGCCATCTTTGTCTGAGCACAGGAAGCAGCTGGGCAAAGGGAGGGTTGAGCACATGGTTGGGAGTTTGGCCGGATGCCTGGGAATGAGGCTTCGGGGGCGAAGGAGGGGGTGGTGGAGGACCCGGCAAGTCCCCGAGGAGGAGGTCAGGCTGGACCGAGGAGGGGCAGGGAGAGAAGCTGGGTCCCCCAAGGGCTTCCTTGTCTGGTTCTCCGGGCATCACAGCTGCTCTTCCTCCCTCATTCACGCAGTGCTCACTGTACCAGCCGGACCCTCACAACAGACCCCCAAGGCAGGCTCTGCTGTCGTTTCATTGCACCAGTGGGGACACTGAGACACAGGGCCACCAGGTCACTCACCAGGTCCCCACAGCTGGGAAATGAAACAGGCAAATCTGAACCCAGGATGCGAAGCTGGAAACCTTCCCCGTGCCTCTTGGACCTTCCCCACCTCCCCACACCTCAATCTCCCGGGCAGGGAAGGTAGGAGAATCCTGTCTGTGGCTGATGCATACACGTATATTCTTTTTTAAAAAAATAGAGACATCACACATTGCATACATGTATTGATGTTCAACTCTGCACCCCACAAGTATGTATAATCAATATGTTTCAATAAAAATAAATAAACACAAAAGTTAGCACACTTGTACATAGTTCTGTACTTGTATTTTTTCCTTTTGGTTGAAATTTTTATTTTATTTGCAAATGAAATTAGGTGCTTTCAATGATTATCTTTTTTTTTTTTTCTTTATCGGTTTTCTTTGAGGTAAAATTTGTATAACATAAAAATTACCATTTTAAGGTGCATGATTCAATGGCATTTAGTACAATCACAGCCTTGTACAATCGCCGTCTATCTAGTTCCAAAACATGTTTATCCCTCCCAACAAAACCTTGTACCCACTAAACATTAACTCCCCATTTTCCCTGCCCCTGGCAACCACTAATCTACTTTCTTTTTTTTTGGTGGCTGGCTGGCACGGGGATCGGAACCCTTGACCTTGGCGTTATCAGCGCTATGCTTTAACCAACTCAGCTAATTGGCCAGCCCTAACCTATACGCTAATCTTTCTATGTCAATACAGTGCCCGTCCTGGACATTTCATATAAATGGGATCATACAATATGAGGACTTTTAATCTGGTTTCAGGGCTTCATTCCTTTTCATGGCTGAATAATATTCCATTCTCTGGCTGGACCACGTTGGGTTTATCCACTCATCCATTGCCAGACATTCCAGTGGTGTCTGTCTTCTTGTAATTATGATCAGTGCTGCTATGAATGTACTGGTTCTTTTTATTTCTTAATACATCTTGGCAATATTTCCATGTCAGCTCAGGGAGAACTTGCTCACTCTTTTTTTCTGTCTGCAGAGACCTCCCTTGATGGGCAGGAGTGTGGAATATTATTTATCTGGCCACCTTGTGCTGGGGTGACATGTAAGTGCTACATATTTTGTTGTTACAGACAGTGTTCCAGGAAACACCCTTGTACAACCATCATTTCTCACTAGCTATCATACAGGGTGTTTAGAAATTTTTTGGTATGAAAAATGTCAAATATATACAAAAGTAGAGAGAATGTATAGACAGCATGGTGAGCCCCACGACCTACTGATCCATTATTCAGCTTCATTATCAACCTATGGCTACTCTGTTTTTTCTGTTTGTTTTGTTTTTTGTCAGCTGCTGGTGTGGGGATCCGAACCCATGAACTTGGTGTTGTAAGGCTGCACTCGAACCAACTGAGCTAACTGCCCAGCCTTCTCTCTCTCTCTCTTTTTTCTTTTTCTTTCTTTCTTTCTTTCTTTTTAGTGGCTGAATGGTACAGGGATTGAACCCTGGACCTTGGCGTTATCAGCGCTATGCTTTAACCAACTCAGCTAATTGGCCAGCCCTAACCTATGGCCACTCTTGTCATTCTCCCCACCCCACCAAACCAAGGGACAAGGGACAGAGGAGAGAAGCCTGAAGGATGGTAACTCTCAATAGGATCAGCTGCTGCCACAGAGCAGAAGCCTAAGTTGCACAAGGGACAGTTGCATGTCCAGTTTGTCCTGTCTGACACCAGA